CGTCACCTTCTCCGTCTGCGGTTGGGATGAGCCAGGATGGAACGTCACCGCTTGGGGACATTGTCACACAGACACAGACACACAGAGTGGCACCGGCACCCACCTCCTTCAACGTCGTTTCTACTAACGTGGGGAGCTTGGCCAGAACCTCCTTCACCTGCACCAGGATCTGCAGGGACAAAGGGTCAGCAGAGAGGGACGAGGAGGGGGACGTGTGGCACTTGAGGACAGGGAAGAGCCCGGTGGGGGAACTGGGAGAGGAACTGGGGGAACTGGGGTACCTGGTAGGCACATTTTCTGTGGAGTTTCTTCTGCTCCTTGTACCACTGCATCAGCTCCTTCATGAAAGCCAACGTCACCTTGCCACCATCCAGTTTGGGGCCACTGTACTCGTCCTCGATGGCTGTAAAACAAACACACGCCCACACACGGTGTCCGATGACGCAAGGGGACAACGGGGACAAGTCCCCAAAAGGCCATCAGCGTGCCTCTTCCACCCTTCCCCACAAGCTCCCAGCCCCTGACGAAGCCCGGTAGACTTCCGGGGACGCTGAGCCTTGGTTGGAGACCCTCATGGGGACACCAAAGCTCTGCTGGGTACCCTCATGGGGACACCTCGCAGGGTCTCCAAGAACCTCATGGGGACTTCTGAGACCCTCGCGGCGTCCCCCCGAGGTTCTCATGAGGACCCCGAGACCTTCACGGGGACCCTGAGACATTCGTGGGGTCCCCGAGACCCTCATGGGGACCCTGAGATGCTCACAGGGTGGCAAACACCCTCATGGGGACCCTGAGACCCTCATGGGGACCCCAAAATCCTTGTGGTGCCCCCCAAGACCCTCATGGTGTCCCAAAGACCCTCCTGGGGACTTCTGACACTCACACAGGGTCCCCAAGACCATCATGGGGACCCTGAGACCCTCATGGGGACCCCAAAATCCTTGTGGTGCCCCCCAAGACCCTCATGGTGTCCCAAAGACCCTCCTGGGGACTTCTGACACTCACACAGGGTCCCCAAGACCATCATGGGGACCCTGAGACCCTCATGGGGACCCCAAAATCCTTGTGGTGCCCCCCAAGACCCTCATGGTGTCCCAAAGACCCTCCTGGGGACTTCTGACACTCACACAGGGTCCCCAAGACCATCATGGGGACCCTGAGACCCTCATGGGGACCCCAAAATCCTTGTGGTGCCCCCCAAGACCCTCATGGTGTCCCAAAGACCCTCCTGGGGACTTCTGACACTCACACAGGGTCCCCAAGACCATCATGGGGACCCTGAGACCCTCATGGGGACCCCAAAATCCTTGTGGTGCCCCCCAAGACCCTCATGGTGTCCCAAAGACCCTCCTGGGGACTTCTGACACTCACACAGGGTCCCCAAGACCATCATGGGGACCCTGAGACCCTCATGGGGACCCCAAAATCCTTGTGGTGCCCCCCAAGACCCTCATGGTGTCCCAAAGACCCTCCTGGGGACTTCTGACACTCACACAGGGTCCCCAAGACCATCATGGGGACCCTGAGACCCTCATGGGGACCCCAAAATCCTTGTGGTGCCCCCCAAGACCCTCATGGTGTCCCAAAGACCCTCCTGGGGACTTCTGACACTCACACAGGGTCCCCAAGACCATCATGGGGACCCTGAGACCCTCATGGGGACCCCAAAATCCTTGTGGTGCCCCCCAAGACCCTCATGGTGTCCCAAAGACCCTCCTGGGGACTTCTGACACTCACACAGGGTCCCCAAGACCATCATGGGGACCCTGAGACCCTCATGGGGACCCCAAAATCCTTGTGGTGCCCCCCAAGACCCTCATGGTGTCCCAAAGACCCTCCTGGGGACTTCTGACACTCACACAGGGTCCCCAAGACCATCATGGGGACCCTGAGACCCTCATGGGGACCCCAAAATCCTTGTGGTGCCCCCCAAGACCCTCATGGTGTCCCAAAGACCCTCCTGGGGACTTCTGACACTCACACAGGGTCCCCAAGACCATCATGGGGACCCTGAGACCCTCATGGGGACCCCAAAATCCTTGTGGTGCCCCCCAAGACCCTCATGGTGTCCCAAAGACCCTCCTGGGGACTTCTGACACTCACACAGGGTCCCCAAGACCATCATGGGGACCCTGAGACCCTCATGGGGACCCCAAAATCCTTGTGGTGCCCCCCAAGACCCTCATGGTGTCCCAAAGACCCTCCTGGGGACTTCTGACACTCACACAGGGTCCCCAAGACCATCATGGGGACCCTGAGACCCTCATGGGGACCCCAAAATCCTTGTGGTGCCCCCCAAGACCCTCATGGTGTCCCAAAGACCCTCCTGGGGACTTCTGACACTCACACAGGGTCCCCAAGACCATCATGGGGACCCTGAGACCCTCATGGGGACCCCAAAATCCTTGTGGTGCCCCCCAAGACCCTCATGGTGTCCCAAAGACCCTCCTGGGGACTTCTGACACTCACACAGGGTCCCCAAGACCATCATGGGGACCCTGAGACCCTCATGGGGACCCCAAAATCCTTGTGGTGCCCCCCAAGACCCTCATGGTGTCCCAAAGACCCTCCTGGGGACTTCTGACACTCACACAGGGTCCCCAAGACCATCATGGGGACCCTGAGACCCTCATGGGGACCCCAAAATCCTTGTGGTGCCCCCCAAGACCCTCATGGTGTCCCAAAGACCCTCCTGGGGACTTCTGACACTCACACAGGGTCCCCAAGACCATCATGGGGACCCTGAGACCCTCATGGGGACCCCAAAATCCTTGTGGTGCCCCCCAAGACCCTCATGGTGTCCCAAAGACCCTCCTGGGGACTTCTGACACTCACACAGGGTCCCCAAGACCATCATGGGGACCCTGAGACCCTCATGGGGACCCCAAAATCCTTGTGGTGCCCCCCAAGACCCTCATGGTGTCCCAAAGACCCTCCTGGGGACTTCTGACACTCACACAGGGTCCCCAAGACCATCATGGGGACCCTGAGACCCTCATGGGGACCCCAAAATCCTTGTGGTGCCCCCCAAGACCCTCATGGTGTCCCAAAGACCCTCCTGGGGACTTCTGACACTCACACAGGGTCCCCAAGACCATCATGGGGACCCTGAGACCCTCATGGGGACCCCAAAATCCTTGTGGTGCCCCCCAAGACCCTCATGGTGTCCCAAAGACCCTCCTGGGGACTTCTGACACTCACACAGGGTCCCCAAGACCATCATGGGGACCCTGAGACCCTCATAGGGACTTCTGAGACCCTCAAAGGGTCCCCCGAGACCCTCACGGGGACCCAGAGACCTTCACAGGGATGCCATGACTCTTATGGGGACCCCGAGACCTTCATGGGGTCCCGAAGACCCTCATGGGGACCCCGAGACCCTCGTGGGGACCCTGAGACCCTCACAGGGATGCCAAGACCCACACAGTGATCCCAAAGCTCTGCTGGGGATCTTCATGGCTGCCCCGAGACCCCCATGGAGATCCCGAGACCCCCCCAGGGACCCTCCTGAGTAACTTAAATCTCTGCTTTGGACTCTCGTGGAGAACCCCTACGGTCTCCTAAGACCCTCCTGGAGACCCCGACAGCTCCTCAAGGCTGTCGTCAGGACCCAGAGCCTCCGCTGGACCTCCAGGTGACCCTGAGCTGTCATCAGGGATCCTCCCAGGGACCCCCGTGGACCCCCGCCCCCCAACTGGGAGCTCTCAAAGGGGCCCCAAAGACCCTCACGGGGACCCCATGCCCTTCCTAAGGACCCTCCCGCATCCCCAC